AGCCTAACAACACTTGACTTCTCTGATGTGCCTAATCCAAATCCTCTCTTCTCTCCACTTCTCTTCCAGGCAAGGACTTAACTTTTTAGAGGTAATAGGAGAGCATGATAACTATACTAGTTCACTCTGAAAGAGTAATTAGTACAGAAAAATAATACTTAAAAAGAACAGCATGCTTACAAAATGATCCAGCCTTCCCACTCCCACGGTATTTACCCAAGAGAAAGAAACATTCATACAAAGGCATGTTCAAAGATGTTCATAACCATTTTACATTTTAAAAGTTAATGCCTGTAAACAACTAAAATCTTCATCAACAGATGAATGGATAAACAATTTTACTTGGTGTTGAATAGTACATTCAATAAACAATTGAATGGCACTAATATTTGTACCTGGAAAAGTCATCAGTGGTAAAATAAACAAATAAACCATGAACTTTTCTATATATATATATATTTGGCAAAGTTGCATATATATATGCATATATATATATATATATGCATATATATATGCAACAACATAGATGAATGTCAAAACTATTAATATTACTCTGAGCTAAAAAAAGCCAGGCCCTCTAAAAGAAAACTCAATGAGTATAAGCTTTATGGTTCCTTTTATATAACAATCTAAAAAATTCAAACCATTCTTTAGTGATAGAAAGCAGCTTAGTTGCTAGGAGGGACAGAGGGAAGTATACATTATAACAGGGTACAAAAAACTTTTTAGAATGATGGATATATTTGTTATCTTGATTTTGGTCATAGTTTTATATTATAAACATATCAAAACCAGTAAAGTAGCATAATTTACATATGTATAATTTAATGTTCTTTATAACTTAATACATTTGAAGAAAAAAGAGTTCTCTCAAACTTCAAGTATTTTTTTTAAATCCTTATTTGACTAAGTAAATAAAAACAATAGAATCCCAGATGGCTCTATAATGTAATATTTGTGGTTTCTATAATTTTATTGGAGCACCATTAAAATCTGCTGCATCTACATACGAGGCTTCCTATGTGGTTCTAAACATGCCAACATTAGTTATGGAATGTTTGCAAATCACTTCATCAGGGAAACACCTGAAAAAACTGAGTGCGTTTAGAATAGAGGCATAATTTCCAAAGTGTTTACTTGAACATTAATTCTTCGGAATATTTATTTCTATTACTCCAAGATGTTGTAACCGATGCTTGAGAAGTCTCAGGGCACATTTGTGTATTAAAGTCTCTGAAAAGTCCAAAAGGCAAGAAACCAGTTTAAATTTGAACAGATATTTCCTCGAATATTTAACAAGAGAACAACATGAAAAAATATTCAAAGACTTGGGTGGGGCTGGTGGGTGAAATAGGTGAGGTCAGTCACTTGAAGATGAAGTAGAAACCCTAGAGAGCCTGACCAATGCAATGGCGTGTTTATCCCAGCACTGTGATCCAGTCACCACCCCTCAGGCCAAACTGGGATCTCACTGAATCTCATCTGCAAGCTAAGGTGAATCAATTCAATGTTTTTTAATGTTCTTTCAGATTTATGAAGTTATCTTTTCATGTAAAGAATTTATTTTTTTCTCTTCTATCTCCCAAAAGTATAAAAAGACCAGAGTATATAATTTTCAAAGTAACAGATTTCAAGGTCAGCGAGGTAGAAAAACTTACTTATAATTCACAATAAAAAATATTGCAATTAGAGTGGTCCAAAAGAAGGGGTGGGGTGATACTTTAAGAAGTTAGGATTATTTTGTCACTGGAATTAAACAAATAGGGTCTGGCCCACAAATTATCTAGGATGTTGTAGAGAAGTGGCTTTTATCCATTTTGTGAATATTTTCTGGGCACCTATAATGTAATATTAAGTGCCAGAGCAAAATAAATTCTGCCCTAGAGGAGATCCCATTCTGGTCTGGGAGACAGGATACACAGGTCATTACAACATAGGGCATCTGCTAAAAGACAGCTAAGTATTAAGTGTTTGTGGAGGTATATCAAAGGGTACCCTAACCTACCCTGAAATGACAGCTTAGCTAAATCCCAGTATATTAGCTTCCATTCCTACATATTCAACTAGTCAGAAAGCACAGGTTAAATATTGTTAGGCCAGTCTAGCCTCACTGGGCAAAGCTACTTGCCAAAGTGAAGTACACTGTGAACTCTTTGAATCCTTCAAGTTATGGAGCAAAACCTATACTTGTTTCCTTAGTAAAAGACATGTTTGAATGTTTACTCTTATTGCTTTTTATCTATGCATATTAGATTCATTAATAAGTAGTCTTGAAAATGAATGATTTTACTATACTGCCATTTCTAGATGAAACTGAGACCATTTTCCTCCATAGTTAGATATGGTCAGAAATATACCATCTTGTAGTCCTTATCCTATTTTCTTCTAACATAACTGAAAACATAAATGTATTTGTTTATGAGGGGTTTTCTAATAGAATTAAATATTGTGCATTTTATTCTCATCATACGAGGTACTAACAAATTTGGCAATATGTACTAAATATTTTTAAATGAATGTTTGAATAATCCCATTTTTAAACTTATTTTATTTTCTAACTTAATTGGAATTTTTTTTAACATTTCTTATTTACTGAGACTAACTACCATATTTTATGTCACTTGTACTACCACAAACTTCAGTTTCTATAAGACAATCTTAATTTCTCAGACATAGGTTACACTGAAAAAAATTCAAAGACAGAGAGAGAAGACTATGTAACACTAAATAAATTAAAATCCAAGAACCAAGTCAACTAACAAAAAAATAAAACATTCTTTCTCACGAGAACAGCTGAGAGCACGCATGCATGCTGCATTTCTTAATCAGGAACTGAGTTTTTCCTACGTGCAATGTCTGATAATATTCAGTGATAGCTATAGAACAGTTTTAGCCAGAGATGTATTAGTAAAGCTAAGCTAGATTAAGTCTTTGTAGAAAACTATGTCACTCATCCCATTACTATCCTTAGATGTTGCCTCTTTTTCTCACCTGCTACTAGTCAGTGGGGTCAGTCAGATGCCCAAGGAACTGTAGACTCATACTTAGGGGGTCCCACGGGTATTCCAAGATGAAGACCTGGGAAGTAGGTGGCTCCTGCTTTCATAAAATGATGTAGACTGGGCCACTGAGATGATGCTGACATGATGATTTGGGGTGATCCAAGTGGTTTTGTACTGACAGAACAAAAATATTGGCCAGGGGCCTTGAACGTCCTAGGGGCACCCCTGCCCCACCATGGAAAAGCTCATATTCAGGTGGAAAAGACAGTATATGTGAGGAAATAAACTATTTGGCAACACAGTATTTTTACTTTGTATCTTTAGGAATCCAGACAAAGAAAGGGTAAGCTCTGCTGAGTGGAATGGGGGTGGGGGGAGCACAATTTGTGCAAGTCAGCTGAAGATAAAAGATTGAGCAGGAGTTGACCAGGTGATAAAAAGACAGTAAGCCAAGAAAGTAGGCAAAATGTAGGTGGTAGTGAGAAGCTATGCTCAAGAGTATGATGAGATGCTCCGAAAGAGTAAAACCAGAGCTCTCAAGGCAAATGGGAAGGCTAATAAAGCACACTGCCAGTTCCCACCACAAGACCCTCTAGGATGCATCCAGGAAATTTGTGCTTTTAAGTGTCATCTCTACTTAGTCCACCATCAGTCATGGGAATCTCTGGGGAAGAGAAAAGGCGATGGGGTTTTATGCTTAGATGGAGAGATCACCTGTTTATGGAAGTATTAATTACATTAAGTTTCTTAATGCAATATCTTTGTCATATAAGAAATTTTTGATATCTTTATAAACTAACCTTTTATAAACATCTCAAATGTTCCATGGCTTCAACTATACCTTGTACTGTAGAAAATAATATCAGAACAAATTTTTTTCTCTTAAATTAATTCATATGAACCAAAAAATACATTGATTCATACATAAGGTTTTATTTTTCTGCTTTTTCTCCTTTCTATTTCTCATCCAATTCTTAAGGCTTAAGTAAAAGCCTGTTTTCAATGAGCAAAGTTGTAAACAAAACTAAGCTGCATTGCTAAAGAGAAAACTGTGAAATGCTTTGCAAGTGGCAAATATCTTAAGACAGAGACACAATGTATTTTACAAATCTAAACATACAGTTGTGATATGGATGGAGAAAATACCTGATTTCTTTTTACTTTTTATCATAAAGTTGATTGAAAAGAAAAACAATGCATTTGACAAAGCCACACCTCAGTCCCATATGCAATTCTGATCCCTACAGCCAGACCTTTAGAGACCTCTCAACTGCCCACTTGTCCTAATCCCTGAAATATGTGCTAAAACTCCTCCAAAATAGAAGAAAGCTTTCTTCTTTCATTAGGATAAGGTTAAAAAGAGAAGAATTTTGGTACAAATTTTACTAACATCAGGACAAAATTTGGGGATATTCCAAGGTGCTTTGAATAACAAATTAGCAGTCTAGACCAAGATTTCATGGACAATATGCTTGAGAAGGAAAAGTAAATTACAAATAACAAGGGGGGGCATATTTCAAGAAAAAAATAAATGGTTTTAATGATTGTTTCATCTCTTCTGTATGTTTTAAAATTACAAAATATCCTTCTAAATTATTGAATTGTAAGAACTACACTGATGCTCAGAGTACCCGGCGTTCCTTTCCAGCACCTGGAAGGCAGGAACTTACTGCATATATGTCATCACCAACAAGCACTTGCACCACAGCATGCAGGAAGCAGGCCCTCAGTAAGCATATGCCATTATATTGCTTTCACTGGGAGAATATATAAAAGACAAATGCATTCACTTCCTTTTATTCTTCATCCAACCCCAACTGTTTGCCTTACCTTTCTGTTTTCATTGCAACTTTATACTTGAACTCCTAGTATTTGTTCTAATATGCAAATATTCATATTTTATATTTTAATATATATCTAATTGCTATATAATTTGATGAGGCTTATTTTCAAAGATTTTCCTGAATCTTAAGAAAAGAGCAATTAATAACAACTTACCACTTGTGAAGAGAAGAATTCTGGGATCCTGAAAAAAAAGGGGAAAAATATTTGACTAAAAGATAAAAACATGGATGATAAAAAATTCTACAAAAAACTTGGCTGGGTATAAGATCTATGTAGCCTCCCAATGGAAATAAGATTCAAGTTTTATAATAGCTGCATGATGCTAAAATGGACTATAAATATAAAAAGTACAAATCCAACTCAGAGAAGTCTATCCATGTGAGAAAGGAAGAGCACTAGATGTGGAGTCAGAGGGTGTAAGCTTTAATCATAATGGCTAATTAAAAGCTAGGGGCAGTGGCCTGAAGCCCACCCTTTGACCAAACTGAAACTCAATGTTTTGGCTATGATGTGGAAACATTAATACCACAATTACAAAATTGCACCTACAATGTGTTAAAACAGTGGGAATCAAAAGTCATAAAATATATAGGAGGAGCTGTACACTATAAACTCAGTGCAAAGAATACTAATTGAGAGTCCATTTTTCAAATATTGTAAAAAAGTGATGAAGACAAATAAGGAGAGGTTCCTATTACTCAAATATAAAACATTAATATCATTAGTGTTTTATTTATACTGCATCTCTCATGGTGTAATAGACCCCAGTCAAATGCTTTTCTACCTTCTGGAAACAGATTAATCACCAGGATATTTGTGAGTTTATTTTTCATCCTAATGATGCTTAATAATGTTCAACTTTTGAATTTCTTTCCTATGCCTCCATTGAGTCTAGCATCAGGCCAGGTATATACAAAGTAGGAAGCTATTTATATGATACAATTTCAGGGGCCTTGAATGAGAACCACTTGCTTAGGAATAGCTCTTCATCTGACTTAGGCCAAATGACTTCTATACCTGGCTAAAGGATACAGTAGAATAATCAGCATATAAACAACTACTAAAAACAGAAGACAAGTTGAACAAAATGGAGTAAATGGTTATGGAAACTCAGAGATGTAACAATTACTATTGTCATAGAATAAAGATGGAATGTGTAAGACACAGTTTCATAGATGACAGGATAAGGCAGAATCAGCGAGGCCATGAAGAGTGTGCCACCATTGCAAGTTGGAAGATGGTGACTGAAGATCTGGAGGAGGCAGAGTGAAAGCACAAAGCAATAATGAGGTGAGTGGCACAAACCCATCATTTTCAAAGACAGTTCAGTAAAGAAAATACCTATTAATGCCTGCAATTTGTGTATACTTTTTCATGTTTACATAGCACATTGCCAGAGAGGGAGGAAAAAAAAGAGAAAGGAAGGAAGGAAATAAAGAAAAGGGGAAGTAAAATAATTAGTTACCTTTTTCATTCATCAGATTGACATTTTTTAAGTGAGATACAGAAATAAGCACTCTGATAAACTTAATAGAAGTGTGTCAACTGGTGAAGCCTTTTTGAAAGGAAAGTTAACAAAGTTCATTAAACTAAAAATGAGTATAACTTTGAAACCAAAATTCTATCTCTATGAATCTGCCTAGCAGTAGTGTACAAGAAAATTCATTTATTGGTGTGTGGATCATAACAAAAACTAGAAATCAACCTACACATCTGTGAATAAGGAAAAGGCTAAAAATAAACTATAGCCTATTAATATAATGGGAATAGAATTTATTTATACTTTCTGATATAGCAAGTCACATACATGTACTTACGGAAACAAGTAAATTGCTAAGGAATAATTATCATAAAATATCACTTAAAACATCTTAAGAGAAAGCAGAAAATTACTAACTGTGGCTATTTTTGGAGGAAAAGATTTCGCTTTTCATACACGTGGGAGTTTTAAACTATTTTATACTGAGCATAACCCCCTCTTAAAATAAAATAAATTTAATGACTAACAGTTTGAAATATTAAGCAAAAGCATATTATATTAAAATAATACAAGCATTATAGTTATTAAAGATATGAATTATAAAACAAAAGACAAAAGCAAAGAAGGAAAAGTTTCAAAAAGGAAACTGCAGAGGAGGACAGAGGACTGGGCACAGGCAGGGGTGAGTGGGGCAGTGGAGGCCTGGGCCAAGATCATTACATGAGAAGAGCTCCCACTGGTGTGCTGGGAAGCTGGACTTCCCAGTGCTTCCTCATGCTGGGTACACACTAAAATCTCTTGGTGAGCACTTCAAAATCAACCATGCCTGACCCCAATCCAGATCAATTAAATCATATCAGTGTTTCAGTGAAATAAGCCAGTCAGAAAAAGACAAATACCATATGATTTCACTCATAAGTGGAATCTAACGAATAAACTGAACTGACAAGCAAAACAGACAGACTCATAGATGGAGAGCAGACTGACAGCTCTGGGCAGGGAGGATTAGGCGTGGAAGGATTGAGCAAAAGAGAAAAAGGACTCATGGACATGGACAACAGTGTAGTGATCGTGAGGGTGAGAGGGGTGGGTGGAGGTGGGAGAGGGTATAAGGGGGATAAATGGTAATGGAAAAAATACAATAAAAATTAACAAAAAATAATTAAAATTAAACTAAATTTTAAAAATAAATAAATAAATAGAAAACACTAGCACAGTCAAAGGATTTATGAAAGGTTGCTTGCTATTTGGGGTTTTGTAATTTGTTTCTGTCTGTTGTTACTTTTTGTTTCGTTTCAGGAGGCAGGACAAAGACATAAACAGTATTAATCTAGACAAGTCTGGTGATGTATGGAGGAGAAAGCGGAGTAGGGGAAGATGAGGAATAATCTTATTAAGTCACTACCAGACTCAGCAGAACAGGACCAGGTTCCGAACAAATGGCAAACAGAGCAGCTGAGTTTTAATGCAGTCTCGTCATGAAGCAAGGGCAGCCTGAGGACAGGCTGAAGCATTGAGCAACAAAGACCTAACCAGGTTTGTGCATATGCTATTTATCAGGCTCTGGCCTGGCACCTTACACATAGAATTTCATTTCATGGGCAGCTCCACATGGAGAAAAGCACCCTTAAGTCAGATAGTGCTTGCTACAAAATTCAGCTCAAGGTCACCGATTTCAAGGATTAAAAAAAATGAATGAACCATTAAAACTCAGTAATATTTTTTAAGTCAAATAAAATGATTATCCAGGGTCCTCAAACTGTCGGCCTGCTCTTCTGTCCTGTTTCCCCCAAGCACAGCATCTGAGTTACTGCTGGGTCTGCACCCTGGAATGGAACTGCTGACAGTCTCCACCACACGAAAGGAATTAGACCAGAGCTGCTGGCAGGCAGAAGGCAAGTCTGAGTGGCAACCATCTGAACAAGGTGAAATAAAAAGTAGACACTCTCCGAACTCCCATTTTCTGCAGGAGAGACTTTGAAATAGTAATTACCTATATTTCCAATTGAAAAGGAATAAAACTCTACTTGACAACTGCATTTAAGAGCACTCAAAAGAAGCAGCAAGGTACAAATCTTCTGTTAAAATCATAGGCCCTCATTAGTCATCTTACAACTAGTGAGAGAAAAATGATACAGAGACCACCCACCTCATCTCGGTATGCTGCTGCGTTCAGTTCAATGAAATCCTCTCTGTAGTTCACTGAGAAATTGAGGGCATTCACCAGGTGGGCAGCCACGTGCACCCCTGCAGAATCGCACAAAGTGCAAGTCAGAGGGATTTTCAGATATGTTCTAGGAAGAGGAGTCAGTTCCTCTCTCTAAATAAACACAGGGTCAAACTTTGACAGCTGCATGAGCAATAAAATATTAAAATTTAAAAGGGGAATTTTAAAGATACAAACAATCCTGAGTATACAGTTTCAGTATTTAAAATTATATAAGAAAACTGAATTTTCAAAGGCTAGAATAAAATAAGCCTAGTAAATCAAGATTAGAAAAAAATACACATGTGCATACACACATATACTTACAAAAGCAGCAATATAATAACATGGGCATTCACTTATTTGCTGAAGCAGCTCCGGGACATTTCAAATGCTCCATACCTCTCCCCTCTCCCATAAATCCAAATCTGTTATGTATCTTGTATACTTCACTGCCACTCACCCTAATGTATAGGCTCACTGAAAGGCTTTTAACTAGTGAAAACTTTTCACAATCTATACATTTAAATCATAATGTCCTAAACCCAATACCAAAAGTATTGGTAACCATATGACGAACACTCAGAAAAATAATAAATACCACTTAATTATGTGCCTACAATGGCACAATAAACAGTGCTCAACTGACTCAGAGCTCATACAAGATAAAGAAGTTTTAGAAAATTACTAAAGAGTCGAAGACAAATTCATGTTGGCATGTCAAGGAAAAAAGAAAATTATCTTGAGGAGGTTAGACAAGGAAGGAGCAAATGACCTTGTGTATTGAATTATAATGCCCTCCTTTCCAACCTTTTCTTGTAGGTGAAATATGGTTTTAATTAACAGCATATTATAATGTATGGGAAAGAACAACAGATAATTAGTTGGGAACCTGTTTTCTTGGCTTCATTGTTTGCCTACCAACACCTCAAGTTACTTTTCTATAAAATGACAAAAATAAGAGGCTTAAAGAGATAAGTGATCCAAAATTGCTTAGTAAATCATTAAAGTTTACACAAATATACAGAACTACTAATTCAAAAGAAGACATGGCTTAGAAATTAGAAAGCTCTATAATCCCCTCTATAAACCTAGCTCTATAAACCTAGCATATGAGGTATAGAGAAGCCAAAAGTTCTGACTTACTCAGAAAGACAAATCAAAATGAGAGAGAAGGGCTAGAATTCTAAATAACCTAAATATTATTTAAAGGATTTATAAGCTCCTGCCAGTGATCAAGTGAGAAGACGGAAGAGAGTCTCATAAAAAATAAACAGGAAACTAGAAGTTAACTAACAAGCAAGAACCATGTTTCAAAGAAACAAAACAAAGGATATTTAGGTGACACTCAACTTTGGCACAGGTATAAAACATTATTTAAGCAAACCTGTCTGTGTCCTATAGCTTCACCACTTCAGAAATAACTAGTAAAAAATGTTTATTTAAAATTAAAGGTTTATATGTTAATTACATACTTTATGGCTCAAAAGTGTAAAGGCATCCTCAGTGGAATTGTCATTCTCTCTGAATTCTCCTAAATAAAAGTCCTAGGGAGTAGCTGTATGAGACACATGCTAAAGGAGTACATTCAACTTCTTTAAAAGGTCTTTTAGGTCAAAAGAATCCAGGGATTCTAACTTTAGTGAGCAAGGAGAAAGCTATGCCAGGCTCTTTGTATTGATTTTCTCATTTAATTCTCACAGTAAAAAATGAGGTAGATAAACTCATACCTATTTTACAGATATGAAAACTAAGGTTAGAAAGGTGACTTAGCCAAGGTCAGACCACTAGCCAGTGGCAGAATACAGACCCCCTGGAAAACATGCTCACTCATTCAAGGCAACATGCTGCACTGTCTCAGGTCCTTGGTTGTTCTCCAACTGAACTAGAATATTTGGATGCAAAAAATGTAGAGAAAATCAAGTTCTGAATGCTAACATTTTATGATCCTCCACCATTTCTGACTTTCCACCTTTCCTAGCTCCAGTCCATCCCTAACTCTTATCATACCCTTGGCCCTCACCTCTTCCTGGACTCTTACTCCATCCCCGGACTCAAGCTACGCTAGAGTTCTAATCTCATCCCTAAGCCTCTCTCCGTCTCTCACCTCCATAGGTGGGAACTACCAATAGGAAGATAGATGTTCAGAAATAGAACAGTAAAGAAATACTTAGCAATTTTTAAAAAGCTAAAATTTAAATGATAGCTTGGTAGTAGCTATATTAAAACACTCCTGATCAAAATGGCCTTACATAAATATCCAAACCAAATGTCTTACAAATAACAACCAGATAAAAATGTCTGGGGCTATGCCAATGAGATAATTAATCCCTAGGATTGCAAATTATAATAACAAATTCTACCCTAAGAACTTCATATGCATGTTCTCATTTGCATGTCACATAGTAAGGCAGAAGAGCAGTTGGCGATAAAGACATTCCATTTCCAGACTCCACATACTTAATACATTTATTACTTTCTGTTCTAAATTTTTTAAAAGTATTACATAAATACTCAGGATAAAAATTTATTTTAAACTGACTCTTTTTTCTTTCTTTTTTTTTTGTTAAATTTTATTGGGGTGACATTGGTTAATATAATCATAAAGGTTTCAAGGGTACAATTCTATGATACATAATCTGTATATTGCATTGTGTGCAATATGATTCTTAAAAGCCAAAAGATTCTCACTTTATATTTTTAATTGGAATTGAGCAGGATAAATTTCCACAAATTTTTGAAATATGTGCTCCTCTAGCCAAGTATTCAATATTATTATCAAAGAAACATTTATCAAATAAAATTTCAACTGGTATCATATTCAACAAATCCACATTTTGCATTCTAATTCCGATGCATGTAAACTCCTATCATATTATTAGAGCTTAAAAACTTTTAGTCTGTTTCTTCCAATTTCTTAAATGAAGTTATTTACTTTTAGGGAACAATCATTATCAGCTTGGAGGCCGTTTTATAAGAAACATTTTATATGACACCTTTTTTCTGTAGCACTACAATACAACTCTTTTTAAAAACATGAGAGAAAATTAAGCTATATAAGAAAATCACAAGTTGGTGGCAATAATAGTTTATAGAATAATAAAAATAGCATTTATAAAATGTGTTATTATAACATACTATTCCACATCTTTTGGTTTTCTCACCTGAGAAAATACAGATGGTAACACCACAGGTTATATGGAATGTTCTGCTTTTATCCAACAATCTTCTAGTTTTTCTGCTTGCAACCTAAATAAAAATCACTTAATATTGTAAAAAATGACACAATAAATAAGATATATGTACAAAACTTTTCACTATAACACTGTTTGTAATATTAATATTTTGGAAATATGGCAGAAGTCTATCAATTAAAAAGTAGTGAGATGAATTATGATATACTAATCAATGGTACACTCAAACCACTATACAGAATGTGAGAAGACTTATTGATGTGGAAAATGTGCAAGATATATTGTTAGATAAAAAAGTTATAAAACAAATCCTATATTGTTTAAATTGTATGTTAACATATCAGTAGGCATTTACCCCAAATTGTAATCAGCACTTGCTCTGGCAGACTAGTATTAAAAAAAACCTTCATTAATTACTTCACATATTTCTGGAATGTTTAAATTTCACTATATACAGGCTCTGGCAGAAGTAACACATGCTTGAGTGTGGTTAGTAAGGTAATAATGTGGGTGTAATAATTTATAGTTTTAATTTGAACATTTCACTTGAAATGTCATATGGTGGGTTTGAGTGTGACATGTTCTGTTACAGGATTACATGCTTATGACTTTGTAATAAAAGACTTAGTAGTAAAAAAGGAACGTTATTGGTGCCAAACTCTGTATACCATTTCTTTTTCTAATAAAAAAAATAAGGTCTTTTAAAAATAAAGCAATTTCATTATGGTTTTAAATGCTTGCTTGATCTTAAGAAAAATAAAATGTCAAGCATCTTTGAATACCTATGTTTCACAGTAGGGGAAAATCCTTTAAGATTAAATACATTAAATACTGAGAGACTTAGATAGGTACTTTTTTTCCCTACCATTTATCTTTTCTTTCTTTATTTCAAGTCAATGGGCAGCCACAGGGATCAAAACATAGCATTTTAAAATGGTTGGCAACCAAGAGTTATTTCCACAAATTACCACATTAAAGATAAAGACTTTCCAAATACAATTACATAAAAAGGTTGAGAAGTTTTGCTGTAGTAATTCTAGGTGTATAAACTTCACAGGGCATCAAAGTGACCTCACATTAACAACGCCTTGTAAAATATCAATATCAAGATAAATAAATAAATATCAGTATCTATCCAACAATGCCTTACTATCTTAGCACAGAAAGGAATGACCACATGCATATAACACACACACACAGGAGGATAACTGAAGACAAAAGAATTCAGTTGAGTTTTAACTTTCCAAGTGCTGTTGTTTTCTTATATACTTTATTTTATAACACTAAATAGCCACACATGACATCACTATTTAATCAAGACACCTTCTCTCGATTCCCAGCCAGGGTACATTCCTGGGTTGCAGGCCATAAACCCCAGCAACCACACATCGATGTTTCTCTCTCTCTCTCTCTTTATCGCCCTCCCTTCCCTCTCTAAAAATAAATAAATAAAATATTAAAAAAAAAAAAGAAAAAAAAAGAAAAGTACATGACTTGTTTAAAAAAAAAAAAAGACACCTTCTCTAAGCCTACATGGCTCAAAACAAGTTATGAGCTTTAAGAGATAAATTGCCACCAACACTGGCACTCAATCTATGTATTGCTCAGTAGCCTTAGGGCTTATGTTTGCTCACCTGGATTTGACTAAATGAAAAGCAGGATTTCAGTGAGGCAATGTGCAGTGAAGGGAGTCCAGAACTGGGACTGATCTTAGTCTCGACATTCACTAGTCTCACGATCCTCAAGTTACTCCAACTCTGTATGCCTCAGGTTCTTCATCTGTAATACCTGACTGCAGAGTCATTGTGAGGTTTCACAATTACATATGTGAAGTGGCTAGCACAGTGCTTGATACCACTGTTAATAACTTTTTAAATTAACCTCTGCCTTCAATGTTGTTATCTAAAATAGCTCCTCGTGATCCTCTTGAAAGGTGACATGGTCTTTATTGTCCTCTTTGAAGTAACCACTCTAGCAGAAAGGCAGACCATGAAAACTATGCAGGACTAACATGCCACAGTTACACTTGATTTCTATGCTGCAATCTGTGACTATAATTTTATTGTTCTTACCTTCTGGGATCCTCGAAGGTAAGCCAGGAGTGTCCGGCACATGGGTAAAAGGATAAGGCTGCAGTTGAGGTTAAGAACAGATGCAGAGGCTCTGCTTAGACACAATCCTAGCTGAACAAATAAGACAAGGGTCAAAACACAGTCAGAGACAAATGCAAGCTGCAAACACACACAGACATCATGCTGCTCCTCTGAGGATCATGGTAAAGGTAACTCCTTCAAGAGTCTTGAATAACCTTCTGCTTTCCTCACACCAAAACCCCCAAGAGAGAAACTGGTCTCTTTCTGCTCTGCACTGCCATAAAAGCTGGTCACCTCTCATTTCTACTACAGTTATAATAATCTGAGTACATCCTTCCACCACGAGGTCCATTTCTTGTTCCGCCCCCACCACGCTGTTCTAGGTATCAAAAGCCCTAGAGAGCCTCAGTATATTCTCCACTTTCACACTGGTGTACTGTTGAATGCTTTGTTTGTCAATAAAGTACCGAGGATTTCAAACAAAGCTTTTCATTTATGTTCTATTTAATTTTTTATTATAGTTGATATTCTTGTTCTAAAACACTCTGGGACTCCACATAGCACCCTTCCACACCAGCAGCTGCCTTTAAGCTCTTCACCTTACTACAGTAACTCTGCCCATCTGTCAGCCTTAAGCACAACTCTAGAATTCAACCCTGACCAAAAATTAGGAGAGGTCCCAGATTAGTTGTGCCCCATACAAAGCTAATCAAAACCACACTGCACAACATATTTTTCAAAACATCAGTCCCTGTCGGTATTGATGCAATACTTTTTGGCAACTAACTCTTGCCAGACTGTCATCTGTTATTGGCAGATACTAATCACATACTTCACATGAGTAGTTATCACATGAAAACAAGAGACGGGGTCATGTCTATACACTTTTCCCAAAATAAACATAAAACTACTATTTTAAGGATATTGGCTAAGAAATATGTGTAAGTCAGATGCTTTTCTTATCACGAAATGGTTCATGCCCCTAAGATTTCCAGCTTAACTCTTGGCAAAACAGCAACTCTGTTACACACTGTCAACATATGAAATACTGTCCCTGAAGGGGAGACAGGTAATAAACAGTGTCAGGAAAGCAATAATTTCCATTGACTTGTATAAAAGTAATTGATATTTCCAATTAGGCTATTTCTACACTATGAGTTCAACACCTTAAAGTCTCTGGACTACCTGAAAAAATGTTAAATATAATTTTCTCACCTCAATCAGCAAAATTGTTATCCTTTGAAAGTGACAGACTTCTGTTTTTTAGGCCTCCAGAGAATTAAAATAACTTTTCTCTCTTTTGATATACATAAGAAAAATTTAACTCACAGGATTTTAGATATTTTACCTGCAATTTTAATGTATCAGGATAATAATTCATTTGAAATAGATCAGCTAAAATCTATCATATTTAAATTTAGGACTTAAGAGGTACAAATAAGTTATCCAAATTTCCCTTGTGGTTCAATGATTAAAGAAAATTGTTGTACTTCATTTTCTAAATATTTTTGTGTGTCTGGAAGTATTTTATTGTTGTGTTTACATTAAACCACACAGTAATTTAATTCAAAGTGGCTTTAAGTGTCCCCTTGGGATAGATGGGGTTTATTTTGGCATTCCACTTCTTCAGATGCTGCAAAACATAACCGGAAATTTTACCAAGAACTCATTTCCACATGTATGTTTCTTCCAGAAAATACTCTGTTTTTTAAACTGAGATGAAAATTTTTCACTAGGTTACCAGAGTACAAATCCCCTCATTCTGAAACAGTGGGGGGAGTGAGGAAAGTGGAGGCAGATCCCAGTCAAGTGGCACAATACGACTCACTTACGGGGGGACATTCTGCAGACCACAGCATTTGTTTCATTTGGTCATCATTCATTTGTGACCTCGTTAAGAATAAGTGCCTCAAATGTTCACTAAAGAGAAATGACCGCCTTAAGTTTTGTGCCCTGCGCACTCTGTGTGAATAATGCGTTCCACCATTCCAAGGGGCCATAACTTGCTAGTCCAGTTTCTTCATTTCATTCAGGTTTCCTGTCACTAGATGGCAGTGACACTTTCATGGTTAAAATCCTACCTGTCAAAGTTTCTGAAACTTACTTAATTGCCCATTCCACATGTTATTTTTAAAACTGAAAATATACTTTATATGTTAATAAAACATAGCTTAGTCCTTGCTGTAGCTAGAATGTTTGTGTCCCCACCAAATGCGTATGTTGAATCCTAATGTGATGGTATTTGGAGACAGAGGCTTTGGGAGGTAATCAGGCCATGTTATGATCCATGCCTTTACAGAGGAGGGAGAGACAGCTCTGCCTCTTCTCCACGTGAGGAGACAGCACGAAGAGGGCGGCCTGCAAACCAGGAAAAGGGCCCTCACCCGACATGAATCTGCTGGTACCTTGATTTTCAACTTCCCAGTCTCCAGAACCATGAAAAACTAATGTTTGTTGTTTAAGCCATCCAAGCCTATGCTATTTTGTTATAGCAGCCCAAACCAAGGCAGCCCCACAGAAAATTATAAGAAAATAATGCCATTTGAAGCAAATTATAAAAGAACATAGTACCTAGGTATATCAAGTAGATGGTCATTTTCTAAAATCTCAAACTCATGGCTTCTTATCTCAAGTCTGTCACTTAATAACTATGAAACTTGATCTTGTTAACTGTCCTGTTCTTTATAGTTGAGAAGGATAAAATGTCCTTAACTATAAAATTAATATATTTAGCTCTTAATACTTTTGTGAAAAACCAGTTTTTAAAAACACAAGCACTATATAAAATTAACTGACTGCCTTAGGGTCACAGTATCCCATCCCTTCTCTAAATGTTCTCTTCTGTGCTTCACAGTAAGTGTGCCATTTGCATTTTTCATTCAACTCATTTACTGTGATATGCGCATACTGCAAGGCACCAGGAGTTCAACAGCGAACTGAAGACAGAAAATGACTTTTTGCCTTAGGATGCTTATATTTTAGTAGGGGAAGCAGATATTGAATCAAATAGTTACATAATCAAATGTAAATTGTAACAGTGATCGATGCTGTGAATGAGAAATACAGAGTATGAGCATGTGTAACACAACATGAGATCTCAATAAGAAGGTTCAAAGCACTTCCTCGCTTAAGTTAAAAGTGAACTGAGACATAGAGGGTGACAGCAGGCCTTATCTAGGGAAGAGAAGGCCATCCATGCGGAAAAGATAAAAAAACAAAACAGACACAGACAACAGTATGGTCTTTGGCAGAGGGAAAGGAGTTTGGGGGAGGTAGAAGAGGATGCAGGGATGACAAACGGTGATGGAAGGAAACTTGACCTAGGGTGGTGAACACAGAATACAATATACAGATGATGTGTTATAGAATTATACACTTGAATGTAACCCCAATAAATTCAATAAAAAGAAAAAAATTGACTTGCATGACTGTGAAATACTTTAAGATATTTATGCCATTGTATAGGAAAGAAATAGTAAAAAAAAACACAGCATGAGAATTGATGTGTAGCAAATGGGAACATGGTTTAGCATATGAGAAATTACTAGTAGTCCAATGTGGTTGGGCTGGAAATGGGGGGAGATAACAACATAAAACTAGAGGGAAGCAGATAGGGGTAGACTTTGTTGGCCTTTGGAGGCCATGTTAAGAATATGGACCTTTATCCCAATATTAGTGCAGAGTGATTGTGTTTTAAACATGGAAGTGGTTTGAGGGCATAAGTATCAGGTAACGATCACACCGAATAAAGTGTGGAAAAACAAATTGAAAGTGACTTTGGCAATTACATTACTTTGGGTTGTTAATCATCACAAAAGTGAAATTTTGTTTGAGACAAGGACTATGTTTTATGGCAAATATATCTGAGTCTGTTACAAAAAGGGATTCAGTTCTGAATAAATACGTTGCTAAATTTATTTTGCTAAATGATTCACTAAGACATACTTCAAAAACTGGAAAATTAAAACAGCCTAACCTACATCCCCCCCATCCACCCAGTGTCTACCCACAACCCTGACCATAGCTTGAATTTTTTCAGAGACAGCAGCTTATTCTGCTGTCAAAGCTTCTATTTTGTTTTCTTACATTTAGATGAAATCTGTGTCTCTGTAACTTCCATCTACTGGGCAGGGTACTCTAGATATACCCAAGACAGACATTCAAACACTGAAGATAAAAGTGGAACGATTTCCTATATCAATTCTGTTTCCTTCATGCTAAACACAATTAGGTGCCTATAAAATTCCTGATATGATTTTCATGTCATCTCAGTTGCCTTTCCCAATTCACCAGAATTAACCACATGCTCTACACAGACTAACTGGAGAGGGCAGTACTGAAGACCATCATTTCCCTCACTGAGGACATGACCTGCTTGTTCCTTCTGTGTTACATTGTGGGGTGACTATGTCACATAACGGCTCATCTTGGGGTTTACAACATACAGATCTTTTCACATAAAATGCTATTACATTATAATCCCCTCTGTACTATAGGAAAAAAAATGGAGATGTAAGAGAGCAGATACACAATGGAAGAACTTAATAGCTTTAGCCCAGTATATTGAGTGTGGATCCTGTATTCTAATGTATTATTCCCTTATTAGTTTGCCTTCACTGAAAATTTTATGTTCATGTTTTCTACATCTTTATCCAAGTTCTTGACAAAGCTATTAAAATATAACAAAATCCTATTGAAATAATTTACTCTAGAGAGAATTTGCAAACTACCTTTTCCGGTAAATTAACTTTTAAATAAACATTTTTCTTTCAAGTGGGAATTTTCTCGACAATTTGGGGGAAATATAATGACATTCTACCTCTATACATAACTATTATTCAAAGAGATTTTAAAAGGCCAGTGAAGTATTAATAGTAAGCTTTAATAATTGGTCATTTTCTACACTACCTCTTGGTGAGTCAACAATTAGTCACTTCTAGGAAAAAATAAAAATAAAAATTACCATAGAAGTTTATAAAGTATTTTTTATGTTCTGATTTGGTATTTTGTGTTTGTCAAAAATTATGTAAATTTATACTAATTAAGTTCAATTTTTTTATTCTTTCCCCCAAGAAAATATGTTTAATCAA